TTCCAGTAAATCACGTGGTTCCTAGTTGAAAACAGCAGAGTATTCATCGCATACTTCGGTAGTGTACAAGCAAGTTCTACAAGGAAACAAATATATCATTCATATTTCGTGGGTTTTTTTTCTGCCGTTATTTTGACATATAAAATGCTTTGGTATGTTATAAGGATTTTTTGCTCTTTATAAGGATTTTTTTGGTAGTTTATACAGGTTGGCGCTCCGAAAAGTTGACAGGTATGGATCTTGTTCGTTAATTTGCTCGCTATTCAGTGAATGGAGTCGTTAATAATAAGTAGTGCGTTAATTAGTTGGGTAGTTAGTAAACTATTTCAAGAAAAAAAAAAAGTTTCTTTTTGTGACAAGTTGTCCTCTTTAACGGACATGTTGTAGCCCCGCCCCCAACATTACATGACAATACAATAGATGCCGATTTACAGAGCGCTTTGTGAAAGCGCTTCACAGAACAGTTAACATCAAGTCAAATCATGAACTCAACACACAACATAAAAACACGGACAGCCGTGCAACCTTCACCACTTTTCCCTCAAACGCTTTGTTGTTTGAAGCAGTTCTCGAAGAAAGAGGAAAGAATCAAAGTCCTTTCACCAGTGCTCAAAATGTGCACACGTCGGCTACAAGCTAAGTTTCAAAGTAAACAAGCTGTAGCGTCCAACAACAAACACACACACACACACACACACACATACGCATGCACGCACAGCAGTTATTTGTTTGCGTGTCGAAGTCCGGGGCGGAATGTTTGACAAAGAGTCAAAAGTCAACAAGCTGACATTTTCCCCGAGTAAACAAACAAGCACCTGTAATTTCCACTCCATACCTGTAGGTGGTGCTAATGGCAAGAGAAAGCTTTTTTTTTTTTTTTCCCCTGCACATTTTCTGGAATTCATGCGTCATTGCCCCCACTTGAACTGGAACCAAAAGTCAAAATAGGATCTAAACTTCACATAGTGTAGTACTGTGCGTGTTTGTGTGTGTGTGCGTGCGCTAATTTTGAAGTGGGCGGCACGGTGCTCGACTGGTTAGCGTGTCCACTTCACAGTGCAGGGGGTTCGATTGCGGCTGCGGCCTTCCTGTGAGGACTTTGCAAGCTCTCCCCGGGCCCGCGTGGCTTTTTACTCCGGGTACTCCGCTTTCCTCTCACATTCTAAAAACATGCACGGCAGGTTGATTGGGCGCTCCCAAATTGTCCCAAGATCCAAACGTATTGAATGGCATTCTGACGTTGAACTCATCCTCACTAACTGGCTGACTTGCTAACTCGCCAAGGGGCTGAAGAGTGAACTGAGCAGCAGATGAAGTGACTTGAAGTCACTGAAATGACTGACTTACGTTCCAACCGACTAACTCGCCGACAAACCATGTCACTAATTGACTGACTGACTGAATTCGGAACCAACCAGCTGACTGACCAAATAATTTACAGACCGAACAACTCGCTAACTCCGACCGACTCACAAGCAAGCCGTGGGTGTCACTCATGAACTAAATCGCCAAGTGAAGCGCTAATTAAGCAACGATCCGGGCGACTGACTAACCGGGTCACTTGCGAACTGACTGAATGACTAACTCCCACCGGCCAACTGACTTACTAGCAAACCACGTAAGGAACTGAGCAACCAGATGACTTGACCGGACAAAGTCGCGGACTCACTGGCTGACCTCCGAACTGACTAACTGACAGACCAACCACTTTTCGAACTGGACAAAGGAAACTCGCCGCAATGACGAACGGAACGACTTACGAACGAGCCCAATGAACTCGCTCGTTTCGTGACATGACAAACTGAAGGAATGACTTAGCGCCATACACGCTAACGAATAAGCTGTGTCAAGAGCGAAGGAACTCGCTGTCGGACTTACGAGCCGAGTGAATGTTTGTGATGTTTAAAGTTGACATGATCAATAGGTCGACGTGTACATCATCAATCCCCCCCCACCCCCTTCCTGTCCCACTTGCCTTATCGGCCATCAGTCATTGACGACTGCGCACACACACACACACACACACACACACAAACACTCCAACTCACTTGAAAACGACGTTTCCTCTTAAACAGTGAGATGATTCGCACACACGGTCCACATTATGTGGATGTGGAATGAGCAAGATTTTTAATAAATATGTAAATAAAGAACTCGGAGTTGCCCTCCTTGTATTCGACGCCATCGCAAATAAAGTGAGCGGTAGCCGTATGATGTTGTACCGCGTATGGTCAACCCGGGCGACGCGGTGATCGGCGGTTTAGCGCGTCCGCCACACGGTGCGGCAGTTGCGGGTTCAATTCTCCGGTTTCACCCCCCCAAATTCCAAAAAACATGCACGGCAGGTTCGTGGAGCACTAAATTGTGTGATTTGCGGCTCAAATGAGGGATGAGAAACGCAGACGAACGCTCACGTGAGCGCTGCCTCAAAGGCCTCGGGCCGCTGACGTCACAGCCCTGCTCATGAATTAGTGACGCCGCAGCGACCCCCGGTGGCGGACAACCGCATACAGGATTGATTGTGCCTCACAGTCACGTGTTCAAAGATGTCAAAATAACATTGGTGCGATGCATTTATTCCGTGTTTGATTTATCATAAAAGAAGGCGCGTGACTTTTTTGACAAATAATTTTTTTTCTTATTATAGCTTACGATTGAAACACCTCATAGAAGACCGCGGTGACTCGGTGACTCGTGTCAAACGGGTCCTCGGTGAGCGACCAGACGACGCACGGCTCACAGACCCCTCGTGACGAACAACATTGGACAAGAAGAAAAAAAAAAAGATTTGATGAGACACGAAACAAACAACGGTCGTGTTTCCGCTTCATATCTGAAAATGTTACTCGCCGCCGCCATCGAATCCGGCTCTCATCGACTCCCGCCGTCTCGGCTGAGCTTGGTCCGGGAGTCTCCCTTTCGAAAGAGAGAAACCGTTTCAGCCTTCGCAGACGGCGAGATTTGCTTCCGTTTGCCAGACATGTTTGCGGATTGTTTGCGATCGCCTGCTCGGGACGGCGCCGCGCCTCCGAGAGTTACGGCAGGAAGTACAACAACGCACCGAGTCGATCGGTAGCGTTGCCAAGCAATGGAGCCGAATCCCGCGCCGAACATTTTGGTCGCGGCGGCGGTTCGCTTCCTGCGCTTCGTTGCCACCGAGGCCTTTTCAACTCTTTGGTCCTTCCAACAAAGTTTCCGTTTCTAAAAGCGTTCGTTTGAAGCAAACTCAGCAAATGAAAATGAAGGACCTGAAACCGGGACTACGCTATAGCGGCGAAAACGTCGTGAAAACCAGATTGGACTTTTCCGGTGTCGTCCAAGAGAACGCAGAGAAACTTGTGAGGAATGAGGACGAGCCCGCTGATGGGGGGCTCTCCTTCTCCTCCTCTTTCTCCCCCCTCCTCGTCGGTCTTGGTTTCTCCTCGCATCTCCCTCCTCGGCCGAAGCGAGCGCGCTGCTCTGAGAGCGTCTAGGGGGGGTGGGGGGGAGGAAAAAAAAAGATACACATACGAAGAAGAAGCAGGAGGAGGAGGAGGAGGAGGCGGAGGGGGGCCGGGGAAGCCGAAGCCGCACACCAGGACGCCCCGCACCTGCACGACGCCATCCATCCGATCGCCCCCCACTCCCCCCCCCCCCCCCCCCCCCCCCCCCCCCCCCCCCCGCGGCTCCCCAGCCATGATTTGTAGAATTTTAAGCTTGGATTCAAATTTACCTGCATGACTGCATCCTCATAGCATGGGGGCCGGCTTAAGTCAGACGAATGTGAGCTATTGAAGGAGACTTGGCACTTTTGGCCAACGTGACGAGGAGGGGGCAAAAATGACATCTACATGAAACAGGTGAAAAGTGACATTAGCTCTTAGCTGGAGTTTACCACCCGGGTGTCTTTTAGCTCGTGAGAAATGTGGGGGCCGGGGAAAGCCGAAGCCGCACACCAGGACGCCCCGCACCTGCACGACGCCATCCATCCGATCGCCCCCCACTCCCCACCCTCCCACCCCCCGTCCTTCCTTCCGTCCGCGGATTGCGGCTTTTCGGCGCTCGGACGGCCGCATGACGACGTCAGCCACGCGGCCAAGAAGCACCGAGGAGGAGCCCACACGGTCAGTATGAGGGAAGGAGGGAGCCTGAGCTCGGGAGGCTGTGAAGGCCACGGCGGAGGTGAGGCTTCCTCCTTCCTCCTTCCTCCTCCTCCTCCTCGTCGTCCTCATCACATGATGCTTGTGCTATTGTTGTTTGGCACGTGCGCGCTTTGTCTGCGAGAGGAGCCTGCGTGTCCTTCGCTCTCCTTCCACGCCGCCTTTTTGTTTGCCTCACTTGACATCCTCGCGTGACGTCACGGCTCCAAAAAAA